CCCGCGAGGGGGGTGGGGGGTGGGGAGGGGTTCTAGGGGGTCCTAATCTTCGGTATCGAAGTTTGCCTAATAATTATACTTCCCTCGACTCGAAACGAGATTAACATTTGAACATCTACCTTGCAATTTCATATCGAGTGTGTCTTTGCTGTTAGCGGTACATCGGTTAGCAATAATTACCTTCTAAAAAAAGAAGTCCATACTTGATGGTTTGGGGGGTGGGGGGGTGGAGGGGAGGGAGACAGTCATTGCCGAATGTTTCTGGTGCTACAAACGAGTACACGATACAGAAGTTCAAAATCAACGTGATTGAATAAAGAAATACAGAGTGGTGTAGCGTGGACTTCGAGATTCGAAATCGCTCGAAAGTCTTCTTTTTAATCCAAGCTGTAACATTCCGAGACATCCGACACGTATATCGCCCGCGAGCTTTCTCTACAGTTACACGTCACATCTTCAGCCGGGTTTTCTTTGATTCGTGTGGGTAAATAGTAGCTACGGTGAAAATATTTAGATTGTTTGAACGTTTTATCTGTGCGTTTAAAGAAATTTTCTTTGAAGTGTGACGATATTCAGTTTCTTGATGGTGGCTGCCCGTTTGGGTTGAAATAATCACATACAATTCTCGATTAATTCCGAATAATACCCGATGACGATCGACAACTACATAAACAATACCAATCGCATGAAATTGCGTCGACAAACCCAATAATGGGAACAATAGGGAATACAAAGATCGTTTGCTTAGCCCTCGAATAACAACAGAATCGAATACCGAGTGAGAGCATATTTCCATTTGTTCGCAAGCAAGAAGCAAACCATAGAATCTTGACAACAATACACTGAATCGGAACGTCAGAGAACGCGGGCCATTAAAAATTCCAATCTCTCCGAATTAGAGCTAGAAGAACAAAAGATCCAAATTCTTAAATCCGGTCGAATATCTAAATTCTTCTATTTGAGATATTTGTTTTAGAATTCGGTAAATTTAAAATAACGTTTAAATTTAGTAACACCTGTGACTAACGTATTCTTCGGGCATTAGATCCCGGCCTATATCCATAGTTACCACTCGAACCGAAGGTGATCTGAACCACCTCAATTGTCCTCGGACAATTGCCGTGGTTCGCACCATCGAGTGATAACTATGGATATATGGCTAGCGTTCCTCTAAAACAAAACATAAAAGACAAGAAGACCTGTCAACAGTGTACCAACCGAAGTAACTAAAGACACATAAGAATCCATCTTTTCGATCACGGAGAACCTACCATAAGCTTTTCAATCCCGTAACATCCTAGGGGGCTTAGCAAGTTTCGAGCCTGTAATCGTGAAGAGAGAGATTACACCTCTCTCGATTCGCAATTTCGCGCTTATTGGTCCTCGGAAATATATCATCGAATAGTTGCGTGACCACTAACCTGGAAGTTATTCTGGTTGTCGATCTGAATCGTGCTGGATCCGCTCGATTGCTGTCGCGTCACCGCGTTCCTCCACGGTCGATAGTATCTGTTGCCGAAGATCGAGCGCATCGGCCTCTCGAGGCTGCTCAACTCCGAGAACCTTGATATCAGATCGTCCCGGTCGACCGCTCTGCCGAAGTGTTGATCCATGATCCGGGACACCGGTCGGTCGAAATCGTCCCACCAGTCGCGAAACATCAACGGTACCACGGACATCTACGCGACATAACAAAACGGAGAAGAAATAAAGTCGGTCAGTTCTTGCTTTCTCGCTCGGGGGATATAGATATGTGTATAGAGGGAGAGATAGAGAGAGAGAGAGAGAGTAGAGAGAGAGAGAGAGAGAGAGAGAGAGAGAGAGAGAGAGAGAGAGAGAGAGAGAAAGAGAGATCGGATGAGGAGAAAAGAGGTATAAAGGGAAATTGCTCGGGATTATGTGAAGCGTTTGTGTGATGAGAATATCGTAATTTAGGGACACGTATTATACATACGAACGAAGAATCAAGTAAGCGACGGAAGTCAGACGGAAGCGTGTTTGTAACAGTTTTAGGCTAAGCAGTTTTTTAAGGGATACTAAGATATCCCCCCAAGAGTTTCTTGAGCTTAAATCACCCACCGTATATATTACTGCGTGCGCGTTTCTCGTGTTAGTTGTAATAAGGGACACGATCCTGCAGATCTATATACTCGAAGCAAAAAAAAAAAAAAGAAAAAAAAAAGAAAAAAAAAAGAATATTTTGCTCTCCGACAAAGAGACAAGGTTATAAATGCCCATGACATAAAAATTCTATCTGTTCTCCGAGTTTCTAAGCACCCGTTGAAAGAACGGAATACGCGACTAATGTTTCAGCATCGAATCCGCGAGAACACGAACCTCTAATCGATACGCAACTAATTCGCTGAGACACCATTAAGAGTTCTTGCTATAATTACATATATTATTTACGGATAAGGAATATTAAATATCGACTTCGAGAAAGAACGGGTTAATTCCTATATTTACGCGTTTTCTCGAGCGTATTCGTCGACAATATATCCCGACTCGAAAGCAGAGATTTTAGGAGAGGAGAGGCTGGTTAGGAGAGTGTTAAGAGGCAAACAACACGTCACTGAATTTCGCAAGCCATATCTCGGCTCGAGTCCAAGCTCGAGCTTTGATTTTCGAGCCTGTTCTCGGCAGCTGGATAAGGGTCTTGCCACGTGGTCGAGCTGTTTGCATACTCAACACTTCAACTGGTCTCTGTTAATCTTTAGAACCCAAAGGTCACGTCTTTGCGTCGTTGGTACGCACGATCGATTCATTAAAAAAATCCTTCGACGATTTCTTGTTTCACGCGAACCGGCGTGATCGACGACGAACGAAAACCGGACACAAAGTAATGATATCTCGTGTTTTTACACGAACGGGTAAATCACAAACAACTCACGGAACCTGACACACAGATTAATGTCCCCATTGAATCGAGGTACTCGTAACATTTTTCGATCGATAACGAAAAACGGAACAACTCGGACACGAACAATTGTTTTTTTTACCGTGGACAGAGACATCGAAAGCGAATCTTTTCTTGTGCTTGAAAACGGTCATGGAAACCGTGTGGAAAAACCGCGAGATTTGACGTCACAGAAGATCGTGTGTTGAGCGACGAAGAAAAAAAAAAAAACATTCTGAGAAACGTCTAAAAAGAAGAACGCGTTGCGTTTAAACTCACGTCTGCGGTTGACATGTCGGAGCCGACCGGACGGTTGCATTTCCTCCCATCGAATACGCACAAATTTTTATCTCTCGCGCTAGACTTTAGATTTTAGGTGCGGCTAGGTTTAGGGACTTCAAACGACACGATATAAAGACATCTTATAATCGTTTAGGGATAGGTGAAGAAGAGAGTGGCAGTGAAAGGGGGTGGCCCGGAAGCCTATAATAATTCCCGGGTCCACGTTTATTATCAATGGGTCTCGACTATAAATATACACGTTATATCTCAGTGGTGTGTACACGAACATAATGAACTTTCGCTTCAAGGATCGAGCGTCAAGGGGCACACGTTCCCCCTCGATCGCGTTATTACGATTAAATCTCGGTATTAACATTCTTCAACGAGAGAAGCAGTGTTTTGGGAGAGGAGAAAAAGTACTATACATATAGAGGAGCGTGAGGTAGCTACAAGGAAAAACAAATGATATTATTTAGCCGTTTAGAGATAGGCATTTCCAACGGTATTTAACCGAGCATTATAAGTTTAGTCAAGCTAAGTTTTCTTCAACGCTACGAAACTACGGAATCATAATAGGAGGCACGTTAATATCCTTGACGATTATCTTTTTCACGGAAACTTTATTAGTGTTTAGCGAAGGGGGAAACATATCGCATATACGCGTGATGGACGGCAGGAGTTGAAGATTTGACGAAGTGAAAGAGTTAAAGGGGGGTGTTTCTAAGGAAGATTTCTCCAAGACGCTTTGCGCGCCTTTAGTGCCATTCGTGCTGAAGAGGTCATTTCTTTTTGTGTTTCAAAGAAGACGCGTAAGGATAAACACCGTCTCTAAGCTTAAAGGATTTGATTCCTTTTTGTTTTGGAATTGGATGAACGCATGGTCACTTTGAAATAGGGATAGGAACGTAGACGTTGCGTACTAGTCTTTAAGTACCGATTTAGGATTTTTACTATTTTAGGTTACTATACTTCGCCAGAGAGCTACGCGTTTGCTTAACCCGGCGAAAGCGAGAACGACCGACGGAGAGCACACTTTTATTAATTACACGCACTATTGAATAACATCCAAGTAATACCGTGATTTTCGTGAACGGTGTTGATCACCCGTTGGTTTGACACTTATGAAACAACAACACTGACAACAGATTTTTCCGATTTTTATCGAAACTGGCACGAAATCCTCTCACGGTTCCCAGGGTTAGGAATTCTCTACTGATCTGATTCAGCCGCAGATACGCAGGAGGCTTAAATAGCAAACTTTTCGGGACGAGGCGCCCACGCCTCGTGAATCAACTGTGTGTGTATCTTTCATACTCCCACCGGTGTTCTTACGTGACGTGGTATCCCTCTGACATTTTGTCTAAAAATATACCCCCGATAGATGGAAAAGGCGCGAGAATAGAATGGAGGGGCTGATATTTGCGACTATACAAAAATCGTGATTCAGTGTTTCGGTAATTTTGGCACCGCTATAACACCTTCGCCACCTAGGCCTTTCGAGTCCAAGGAGAGACACACACACCGGTTAGCAAGAATTACAGATTATCCAGGGACGACGAACGATATTTCCCAGATCATTTCTAGTTTCGATCGATATTTCTTCCATTTACACGGAGGGAACTCTGAATAATACAAAAATAGAGACGATCTTAGAATTATGCACGCAGAGACATCTAAAAGTTGCAAGTATATTAAGACACCATACGAGTCTAGTGAAACCACTTCGATATACGCATTTCTCAATGAATACTGCACTACCCCAAACACGAATCAACTTTTTTCCTTCCTGCATTTACGACCAAAAAATAATTCAAAGTCAAGACGCTGCAGCAGAGTTTAAGAAAAAAAGCGAAATTTATCTCGGATTGCTGCTTGCGTTCTTTCGAGGCTTTTCGAACGATCTTCTAGGTATAAGTACACCATTTGATCACGGAAGACACGATTTTGCTTCTATTCCGTGTAGGACGCGTGATAAATGTATCGATGTATCCCTGCACGCAACGGCACTCGATCGATGTATCATTTTACGAGTCGACAAAGGTGGGTGTGTGTGTGTGTGTGTGTGTGTGTTTCCGCGCACACACATCTCTAAACCTGAGGAAGCCCTTCGTAACATCCGAACGCATTGTACATAAATATTGCATTGCGATAACAAGGAGAATACGTTTAGGGTACGACGATGATAACATTATACGTTAGTTTTCGCAAGGGAATGTAACGTACAAAGAGAAAAGAAAACGATGGGTATCGAGCTCGCTCGGTTCTCGTCACCAAAAAAAAAAAAAAAATTAAGTAACATCTATGTTCTTCTTATCGATTTATCCACTATTTACGTACGATACTATTATATATTATATATCGTTAGTGTATGTTATTCAACTAAGGATACCGTGTTTATTTTGGCGAATTTTTCTTCCCACTTAGTGTGGCGAGTGCGAATAAAAAAAAAAAAAAAAAAAAAAAAAAAAAAAAAGAAATTCTGTTGATTGACAATAACTTCCATGTACCTTGGGTTATGAGTTTTAGCGAAACGAAGGAGAATACACACTTATGATTTACCAATATATACAGAGAATACTGATTTATATTTCGAGGAGCGCGATTGTTTTTCTCTTTTTGTTAGGATATGTATACGTAATTCAGGTTCTTTGCGGTACGTGTATAATTTTACTTTTAAGTTATCTTTTTTAACGCGTCAAGTTTATTGAAATACACTGTGCGGCATTATAGAGATAAATTGTAGGCTTAATGAATTTAAAATAATGATTGAGGTAAACGTGTAATCTCGATTGAATATTTACGATAATCGATAAATACCAAATATCTACTATCGTGTTTTTTCCATTGTACACCCTGGCACATCTTTATTGAAATTCTCGGAAAATCGTCTTTATTGATAAAAGTACTCGAAATATTCATTTTTGTCATACCTGTTAAGCTTTGGAAGTATATATGTATATACTATACATTTATTACTCTACGTGTCTCTTTGATACTGGATAAAACGACTAAGATTATTTACGTGTGTCGACAATTTTAGAGCGATAGAAAACAACTTCTGGGAGAGTTTAATATCTATGTGTATTGTTTTTTCATAAATATCGATGGTAATATTATAAAAACTGAACGTTTCAGTGTTTGTAATCTTTGTGACTTAGTAACAGAGTTTGTATCCATGATTCTTGTAACCATTTCATAAAAAAACGCTTTCACCGTTTGCGCTAAACAATTTTTCTCCATGCAACTAGTGTTACACAACAACAACGAACAATAAGAACTGTTTTAATAGATCCCGTGAGATATACCTAAATGTTTAGGTTCATGTGTAGCGAGTCGTATAATTAATATAAATTAATTGCATAAACAACACTGTGTAACTACAGAAGAAGCGTGTGTCGTTCAGTCGGAAACATTATACAAAAAATTCGTAGGACAAAATTTCTTGCCGATCCGAAAATATTTACACACACAATACATACAGTACACCTTGTTCTACATTTCTGTGTAACATTTCTGCAATGCCTAGCAATAGGCTCATCTACACACATCTATTGGCTGAGAAACAATAAAGTGAAATTAAATTATTACCGACGTTAAGAATGAGTTCTTTTCAATTCGAAATCGTCACCAGTCCCTTCTAGGATAACAAAAAATGGTACGTGAGTTCTGATTAAAAATTGAATTGTGAAAACTGAATTACTGAAGTGGTGAGGATAATGTGGAATGAAAGTGAATTTGTAGTCTCGAAAGGTGTTCTTACTGCAAATTTAGATTTAGGTTTTTTAAGTAAGCTTAAAGTAAAATTAGGGTGTAACAGTTCGTTTGTTCTTTAAATGAAGGCATCGAGTATTAAAATCATTAGTGTTTTACTATTTGTATAAACTACGTTACCAACTGTAAAGTATCGAATATTTTTAAAGAACTGAAGACATTCAGAAATTTAATAATTGATTCTATTGTCCGTCTAATGTCAAATTTACTATATAACAACCAATAATCTAAGATTCTGGACGTTTGATATACAAATTTAGACCGTTACGGACCAAGATATAAGGTGAGGAAAGTAAAAACAGAGAAACTCACACGAAGGAATGAATGGTTTTTCTAAGTAAAAAGAAGTCTGAAATCTGCATTAAGTTTCATAAACATTCTCGTTGTTTCACTATTACATTAGCAGTGAATGCATAAAATCCACAATCTACAAATAAGCTTTGTCACCCGAATAAAATCATACGTCAGCTGTAAATGCATCGAATGCACAATCTCTACTAAAAAACAAGCCAGTCATCCGAGTGAAATGATACGTCTATAAAGAACAGTCAGTTCTCTATATTTATCTTCATATTTATAAAAAACTACCAAACAATGTATTTCTGCGACGAAGCGATTCTCGCGTCGCCGAGTCACGAGTTCAAAATTAGATCCTCGAACATTCTTCAGGTGTGTGTGGGAGTTAGGGGAATGAGGTTTGGAGTAAAACAACGCCGAACGTGAATGAATTACAGTATATTTTCTAAAAAAAAAAAAAGAACTTACTAGCGTACGACGTGTCATATTACTCTATTCTTAAATATTACGAATATTTTACAAATCGTTGCACAACTCGCGGCGTGAAAACCATCAGGAGGGATGGCCGTGAGTACGGATGGGAGGGGTTGAGGGATTTTGGGACAGGTTAGGGTTTTCCATGGGTCATGTGAATCGGTATATGTGCAACTCAGGAATCTGTTGTATTTTCTCGATATCTTGTAGGGTCGATATGCCTTTTTCCTGTGAAAAAAAAAATGGAAACGATGAAACTGAAGTCTAACGATCCGATGACTATTCGAATGAAAATTTTCTTACGTTGTATTCCTTCCATTTATCATAATTCTGTCTCATGTATCCAACCATTTCTGGCATGTCGATAAAGGCTGTGAACAGAAAACTTTCGTTACTGTATGAATTGAGAAGAGAATGGTGAATAGTCTTAATTGTAAATACTACTGACCATCCCAGGCCTCGATCATGTCGTTTATGATGAAATCGACGAAACCGATTTGCGATTTCGGTATCGAGCACGTTTGTCTGTCGAACATGGGCATCAGGACGGGCAGTTTCAATTTTTTCTCTTCGTCGGTCTGTAAAGAAGATTCACATGATTTTTAGATAAATGGTTCGACGTGTTCTAGATATTAATCGATCGAATTTTAAAACGTTCGCTGTACAAACTTTTATCGTTGGGACAATTTTTTTCTGATGAAATACGTTTATATAACTTTTTTGCCAGAGTTGGGCACAGTTTTATTTGAATAATACATAGTGAAAAGCAGCAATATCTGAAAATGTCATTCCATCCTTTAGCCAGGTTAAATCGTGTTTTCCAAGTATAAGCTCAGTCAAGAAGAAGTATTAATTGATTTATAAAAATTAGAATTTCTAGAGTTAATATCTAGAAATAAAATGTATTATTCGTTATTCAAAACTTTTTATCGTGTGATAGAGAATTGGCCCATCTCTACTTAGAATATATGTAAACATTTACGTGGTGACTTATATATTAATTATTTGGATCATTAATCTACCACTATTGTATTTACAAGATTACAAATGTTAATATTGATAAGTTGATTTTTAATATAATTTGGTGCCGTCGGTAATCAGTGATTGCCATTACAGTCAACGTGTTAATACATATATATATATATAGATACGAATGAAAGTTATCGGACTATTGCAACAGTTTAAGCCGACGAGGTGTTCCAGAGACGAAACTTTTTGCAAGTAAGTGAATTTTACCTGATTAAAATACTCCTCAGCTATTCGTCTGGTCCATTCGACACAGCATTTCATTGGCCGGGTCGGATTCGACACATCCGCGCATTTGATCATCATCCTTTTGACCAACGCCACGTTCTCGGGTTGCAACACGACCGACATGTCCATGGAGTCTATGTATCCCTGTGTTTCAATTTACATTGTGTTAAGAGATTGATTAACTAACTCGTACGCGAACACTTATATTGTCTCGAAAAAATGATTCTGCTAAGGGTGAAAAGAAAAATTTTTTGTAATAGACCAGTTAAATTAAAATTCAGTATCTCGAACGTCAACCAAATGACATCTTTACATGTATGTACATTTTTAAATAGATATAGGTAAATATAGAGGGTTGAAAGGATTCTAAGTAGCTACATAGAAAAACTTGTTATTGTCAAGGACAATTGAGAACAATATTCTACTCTATTATGAAACAAATATTAATTACTGTTACATAAAGTTGAGGCCAATGAAAAGTTACATCTTTATTATAAAAAAGAGAAAAAATGATTTTGATCTAAATGGGTCTACCAATAAGACTACTACAAAAATCAGTAGAAAAGAAAAGTAATTGCGATTCGTACATCCCCTGGGTCTCCAACTTTCATACTGCAAACGTTCATGAACTTGGCTAGATGTTCGAAGTGTTTCGTCATCTCTGTTGCCAGAATCATATCCACCACCGTCTGACGAACGTGCTTGTATGTGTCCCGTTCCAAATTCTAGAACAAAGATACAATCATTCTTCCACCTAGGATACCAAATAAGAAACTTACGAGTCGTGTCTATTTCGTTCGACTTACTCTAAAGATATTCACGTTGTCGTCTGATAATGTTAATTTAAACGTCAGGGCCGCATGGTGAGACTCGAGAACGGACATATCGTTGTAGAGAACTGCCAACTTGTTGTCAGAGTTGCAGAGGAACTGGCTGAAACGGTATCAAATTAGGACCCTTCTAATTAGGTACCTAGATTCAGAAATCATTCATTTTCTTGCTGTTAATTTAGTTCAAAACGACCATTGAGTGCTTTTTTTTCTCTTCTCTGCAAGTCATAGCAATGTTAACTGAATTGAAATATGAAGTTTTGCGTTCGACACGATATTCAACAGATGTTTCCCAAACAAAAAATTTTTATGTTATTTAGAGTTCCCTTCTAAGTAACAAAATATTCCGCAATCAAAGGTCGGTAGTTGCAGGGTTTGAAGAAGTCGTATAATCTAAAAATGCCAATGTATATAAAAATTGAATTTATCGGATAATATCTCGTTTGAAGAAAGATAGTAATCGTCACAGCGTAAAGTTTAATCGATAAGAATTATTTTTTCTGATCTATAGAAATGGCAATCTCATATTTGTATAGCCAAATAAATTAGTCAATCTTCGTGTGCAGAATAGAAGGGGGTAAAATCGTAAAAATTGACATGTATCAAAAGAAGACAGAATGGAATTTTGTTCAAAAGACGGTTTAATTGAAGATCAGATTTACCTCGATCTCCCCGGATGATCGATGTCGTGAGCAGCAGACGCGATTAAAGCCGAGACCTCGTCCAAAGGTTCTAGGATCTGTTTGAGCCTCTCGGACTGCATGAACCTAGCGGTCGCTTGAAGGACATCCGCGGCATGGGTTGAATTATGATAACTATTTTGAGCTCTGTAACTCATCTCGATCACGGCCAACCAGTTTTGTACGATTTTTTCGTCGCAGCCTAATCTCGCTGGTACTCGGTATAGATTCATGATGGTCATCCCTAAGAAGAGTAGCGGCCTGAAAGCGAAAAATAGAGTAAAGATATAATAGAAGAATACGCTATTGAGGATTATCACGAATTGACAAATTATTTTCGTTATAATATTAGGTTACAGATGATTTACCTTCAAGTATATTAGGAACACGTTAGCTTTAAATTAGACGGATGAAAATCATTTTTAATCGGTTGCATTAACAACAGCATTGTTAATTGATCGTAAAAGTCATCGGTATACGGATACTTTCTTTTGTCACTCTATATAGTACGGTTTGAAATTGAAATTCACGAAAATGGTACCTCCTCTCTGTCAGAACCTCGAGCTTGAATATATCGAAATTCCATTCCAAGCATCTTTCGAGTATTTCCGCGATCTCTTGAGGACCTCTAAATCCCTTGATCTGCATACGCGAAGAGCTCGGAGCAGTTGTGACCGCTTTTAGAGTGGACAGTCGCGCTGATTCTGCTGACGATCGTCTGGATTCCCATGGTCGTCTCGGTGACTGTATTCGTCAATAAAAAAAAATCCTAAAATCATTTACCAAACGCTCATTTGTAAAGCTGATGAAACACTTACGGCGAGTAAGGCTCCAACGAGGTCCGTCGCCACCGGATCGGTGTAGTTTCTGTCCTCTTTGAGGTATGGCACGTATAATTCAGTGGTTTTGAGCATATCTATAGCCTGAAAGATCAGTTGAATATCATTATTCCTCGCTGCAGAAATTCACATATGTCAATTTTCCATAATTAGATGTTCGTTTTGAATAGACTTTCACGCGGCGTAATAAACAAGTAGACATTGTTTAGAATTCAACCTATAAGTGTTTCTTATTATTCGAGAAAGAGTTTCCCATTCGATTAAAATATTATTTAGTTTGATAATGTAGAAAATAAAAAAAATAGAAGTGAATTTAAAAAAGGAATGTAAATTCGAAAGAGCGTAGCATACCCTGAAAAGGTTTACGCTTTTGAACAGAGAAAAGTCATAGGCTGTTAATACTTGTTTCGTTAAACCGTTTCTCAGAAATACATATTATGTACTCTCACGAATAAACCCAGCTTTCGTTAGGGGAAAACACGATGTATGGGTAAGGGCCTCCTAACACTGGGTAAATTTATTTCAAGTACTAAAAATAAATGTTTAACCGAACGTTAATTTGGCATAAATTTCAGTAATTCCTGAGGTCAAATGATAGGGAGGCCCTTATCCCTATGGCACTTTTTCCCTTAACGGAAGCTGGCTTTGCTCGTGAGAGCATTATGAAAAATATTGACCTATTCTCAATAAGTCAGACTGTTTAGAATTTGTACATTCATAATAGGAGTACAAGTTGTTCTCAATAATAAACTTCGAAACTTGACCTTACGATAAAGATTTTCTTATTTGAAAAAAAAAAGAGATGAATACCTTGTCGATCTGTGCTGCTGTGTCCGGACTCGTAGTATCCGTGATGGCATTAGTGAGAAGGGTGATGACTTTCGTGATAGGCGCCTCCAATTGCAAGGCGTGCAACTTCTGTAAACTGGACCGCCTGCGGCCTGTAATCAAAACACAGTTCTCAATTACTATAATTAAGCTACATCGACGGGAAGTTATGTTCTATTATTCAATCGTTGGAAGTTGCGGAGCGATAAAAAAAAAATTGGATCGAATGAAATCGCGATAGGTGTCCTAGTTTTCTATTTACTAACTGCCTCGACGTATTTACGACCATGATAGACGATTTAAAAAAATCCCGTTCCGTTGAATTGGCGAGTTCCTGATAACCTAGTTTGCAAACTGACGAGCGTCGAAACATGTGGAATCAATGGTATAGTTTGCTATAGTAAGATATTGTTATCCTTCGGATGAAGAAATGACATTTGTACTATAAGAATGTGATTTAACTTTTTATTAATAATTTTTCGTTAACGATAACGATTGAGTAAAATTTCAGCTGAACAGTGTGATCAGTCGAAACAGAATGCAAATAACAATCGCTCTATAGGAATTGTTACTGCTCGATAGATTTAATCGATAACGTAACATCAATGACGAATGATAACTAAAGTTCTTTGGATGATATTACGATATTCGGCATTTATCTGAGCAACAAATGGGTTAATATATTATACTTATTTCGGTAATTTGTATATAAAACATCTCTGGTCAATTGAAAATTGATCATTCGACTACACGGTATAGAGTGAAATGTTTAGAATAGTAATCGTCTCTCGATTATCAGTAGAGGGGAAAGGGTCACGAACAACTAAAGGAATCATAGTAACACTGAACTATCAGAGTCCGTAAATACTTCAAGGAGTGGCACACGTGCGTAACTTAGTTGGATTTCGAAGTGAGTCAAAATTGGAATCACCCTCGGTAATGCTGGACTTTACATCGGAAGCCCTCCTTTGCGACGTGGCCGCGACCGCGACCGAGACCGTTTTAGAAAAAGGTGTTTGCGCGAGACTAGGAAGTGGACTCAGCGGATCAATATTTTCGGACAAATACGTCGTGTCGTATATGTATATATAATGTGTCGGTTTCCTGAAACAATAACAGAAAAACAAATATTGAGGATTGAAAAGATATATCGATAGAGCTTGTTGATCAGCGCGATAAGATCGATATTGACTCACTTCAACGCGGAGCAGAAAGGTATCACCCTGCAATTGATCGTGATCATTTGACTGTTTTGCCGTCTGCAATTCATATTTCCCTCGAACTCACGACCCTTGCTGATCTGTTGCTCCAGGACCACGAAGTTCTCATAGTGTACATACTCCGCAATGTTCTTCTCCAACATTTCGCTCACCTTATAACCTAGTAACTTTTCGCTGATTTTATTAACAAACTGCAATAGAAAAGATTATATCTCGATAAATATAATGAAAATGTTTGTGTTTTTGGAAGCAGGATATTCAATGGTAACAGAATTTGCCGATATGAATACTAATAAACCAACAGGAAGATACAATTTTCTCGATAACAAGTGCTACGAGCATATAAGCCACAGGAAACATAAATTATTTCATTCCGTCTTAAATAGTACAATTAATACAGAGAAACTTCCATGGATACTGATCGCAATGAGTAAATACTCAAAAGTTTACAATATTTTGTTACTACAATTTAAGTAATCGAATCAAGAATTTGAATATCTAAAACACGAAAGATTCAGATACTTAACTCTGTAATAGGATGATTATTATATGATAAATAATACTACATACTTGCAATGGAATACTTAAGATCAAATGTATAAGCTATTTTCGCGAATTAAGTTTCTAGATAACAGTCAAGAACTTCACAATTACTCACGTTACCTGTACAATGTGTTTATCGTTCGTCACGTGTACCATGTCACGGCACCTGTCCAAAGCCACATACAAAGCGTTGGCAGCCGCGAGTTGAGTCCTTGGCAGTAACGCGCTCGTGTAAATCCCCACTAATTCGTTTATTAATATTCCCTCGTGGGAGCACTCCATCAATGCCTAAAACACATTAAAAACAAATGAAAAACGACTCCTCTCGATGATCGTAAACAGGCAAAAAAGAAAAAGGCAAGAAATTTGAAAACAAAAAAAAAATAAAAAAATGCAGAATGTAATATTGATATTGAGCCAACGTGTTCCACGAATAGAGATATAGAGTTCCAGTAACTTACTCGGTTGAACCCAGTGTCCAGCAAGTCCAGTGTCACGATTTTATCTTTTTCGCCGTACATGAAATACCTGTTGAGATCCACGAGTGACATTTCAAACGATAATACAATGGAGGCATGTTTTAAACGAACAGAATTAACTTACGATTTCTTTACTAGAGCTATGATAACGGAATTGTGGTAAACGGGACTAGACCGAATCGCCCTGAAATGTGAATCAGTTGAAACTTGTTAATGAAGGCTTTCGTGTTTAACCCTTGTCCACTGTTCAGGATCGATTTCACCCGAAAGGAAACATCCTTCTTCTAATAAAAAAAGTGTAGGATAAATTCTATACAAATTATTTATAGATGTTACTAGCTAGGTATAAGGTGCATCAAAGAGTAATTCATATATTCTATAATTTTATATTCATGTTTTCGGAAACCAAAAACCTCTGTCGCTTTAGTAATACTTTTTCTCTAATCTAATAACCATCGTCATTTTTAAAAAAAAAAGACGAAAAATTCTTTTTGAATTTAGAAAGTGTCACTAGTTCATTATCACTCGATCGTCCAGCCATTTCGCAATTAAAACTCTGTCGCCAGTAAACATCTTGGCGTTCAGAAAAAAAACTGTATAACACACAATATTTTTGTATGAATAATTATTAGGAACATTATTACACATGTAACTTATGAATTTTTTTTATTAGTACAAACTTACACGATGTAATATACGGTACAAACATTAATTATGTGGGACCGGACGATAAAGTGTTAATAAAAGAATAGTATCACTTTTCAATGCATTAAACATCAAATGATACATTTGCACAGTTCGATTTTAATTCTAGTTCAATGTTACTTAACGAATAACGATGAAATGATTTCTTGAACAGCACACAAGGGCTGAGACGTTCAAATATGAATTTAAACGAGATTTGATTCGTCATTATTACGTAAAAATAAAAAAAAAAACAGTTTCCAGGTCGTACCTACAAATTGTCTCGGCCTCTGCGGCACGTTGACCCCGATGATCGATGATTATTAGCTCGTGGCCCCGATGCTGGAAAAACTCCACCGCTTTCTCCCTGTCTTTCGCCACCGACACGCTCCACCCCAATCTCCTCGAAGTGGTTGCAAGCACGTCCATTTGTTGATCATCTTTGGGGAAGACCAACAATATCTGACGTTCGAGGGATTCGATTCGAATGAAATAATAAATTGCACGATAAATCGAGGTGTGTCAAGAAAAAATCATATCTATCTATCGGCGTTGATCTCCCGACCGTTGTCGATAGAACGTGTGTATGGTACACAAAAGGGGCATTACTTACTTTTATAAGACTAGGTACACTGTTCGTTAATGGGTAAGCGTCGATATCCTGCGGCCGTTTCTGTAACATGGGACAAGACAGGCTGAACGGTACGGTCGCGACAGTTAAATTATTCGATTCCGGACAGGAATAGTGCTAGAATGGCGCAGAAACAGTATTGGACTTGATTATAGTAATTTTCACACGGGTTTGGAAGATTTGTTGGAAGAAAATAATTTAATTAAACTGTAGGAATGGAAGTTTCATTAACTGACAATTAATTATTCGATTCTGGACAGGAATAATGTTTGAATGGTGTTAGAGTGGTGCAGAAACAATATTGGATTCGATTATAGTTTTCAGACGGGTTTAGAAGATTTGTTGGGAGAAATGTGTGGTGTACGAGATATCTTAATTAACTGTAGGAATGAAAGTTTCATTAATTGTTCGTTTTTGGGACAGAAATATAGCATTATTAAACTGTAGATGCTTCAACAAAATCATATTTTTAGAGCAGTTAATTAAAATGGGAATGAAATAGAAATTTACTACCCTTGCAGGTGGTTAGGTAAAAAAGAAATTTACTGTTTTATTATTTATGTATTGTATTTTGTTCTGTTTGCATCGTCCATAAATGCATAAAATCGACAGTATGATAAACAAACTGTTCATCTTATGTGTTCATAATGTATGTGTGACCAAGATACAATGAAACAGACTAAGCTTAATGGAATTTTCATGGAATTTATCTTCCGAGTTTCATTAAACAAAAGCGTTTCAAGAAATTTTTATTTTTACCTAATATAACCAGACCTATGATAGGAGTTTCTGTCTAAAAATAAAAAATCTCCAGCCTCTGGGAGTTCTTTGATAAAGATGTGAATTTGTATAAATATTCGGGGAATAGATATACCCTATTTTAAAACACTAATCCAACTCTAACAAACCTAAGCTACTCTGTTACATAAAATTTCTGAGTCCCTATTCCGCCCATGTAACTGTTCTCTTTCAATCATCATTCTTGCTTCAAAATTTTTAATTCATTTGCACATGTAAGTGAAATTTTCTACGTTCAATGATGGTCCCACATCACCGGAAACGGAATAGATAATTTGTAAGAGTGGATTGCCTCATATTACTGAACGCGTAATTATATGCGAAAGTGCAGGCGACAATTCAGGGCTTCACAGAATGAAGGTGTTATATTACAAATATTAAATTTGCAGTAAAGTGAGTATAAAAGTTATTCATATATGTTTATCATATATGTTTTTCATTATCTTTGTATTTTTTAATGTTCTAATAAGACAAAATGAAATTAGGTACCTTGCGAAAGAACAAGACATACACCTTCATTTACTAAGAAAATTTAGTTTTCACAAAAATTTTACATAAGCATTTTACCCCCCTTAAGTCTTCAATTCTAGCTGATACGAGCTAATCGTGATCTGTACGCCCACGTCCAAGCTATAATAGTTAGATCTTGCAACCATTCAATCTCTCTCAACGAAGTTATCCCAACCTGCTCAAACTTCTCAAGTTCCTCGAATTTCCCAAATTGAAAAAATTTCCCAGAATTCACAAATTTTCCAAATTTCTGAAATACTCATTAAAGTTCTGACATACCTAAATCCAGAGTGACTTATTAAATTCAATTCGACTAATTTCGATTTGTTTAACAAGAGAACCTACTGATTTAATATCGTGACTGTTAACCACTTCCGTTGTGGTCTTTGAAATAACTTTCGCTCGTCTTCGTGCACGCGGAGATTCCTTCACACTTTTGTTCCTCCCATGCTGAGGTCCCGAGCTTTTCATTCGTGTCAGGCTACGTGGCTCGATCAGAAAAGCTGCGTGTTCGCCGGTATAACCTATACATGTTAAAGAGACAAACGAATCGGCGCTGCCGAGTATTCACAGACGAAATGAAGTTTGATGGAGATGAAGAAATTGTAATGATCATTTTTTTATTAATTGATCATTTTCGAATGGCCCCGTTTACAATAGATATATAAAATAGATATATAAGATAAAAAGAAAAGAAAAAAAAGAAAAACAAAATTTGCTACATTGGTTTTTGGTTTTTGATAGTAGAAAAGGGACGAGGTTTCCCTGTTCATTAAAATTTTCTTCTGAGCGCATGAAACGTTCCAAGTACAAGACGTGGTTCGAACAATGTTGAAAATGATTTTGAATTATCGCCAGTGTTGTTTATGAACGCGCCTCGAACGCGGAATACGCATGTGCAATGATGATAAATTAATTTTACAGAAGTTACTCTTCTCGTCAATTTAAATTTTCTGTATTGAATACCAAATTTTTGTTGAGAAGAGAACTAAATGATGTAATAAATTAACTTTACTGAAGCTACTATTCTTGTCGTCAATTTAAATTTTGTATATTGAACGCCAAATTTTTATTGAAAAGAGAATTAAATTTGGAATAGTTAATATTGTATATTTCTGAAATTTTCATTTTTTGAATTAGAAAAGATTGTTTCAGGAAAACTTGTTTGTTAAATATTCTACTCAGAATTCAGACTTTTATGGTCATTATAACCTTCTTTCCTCTGTGAAAAGTCGCTATAATATACAGGAAGAAAACGAAATCTTAAAATCATGAGACGAAAAGAGCTACGCAAAAGAAACATTTACCTGCGAACGTTTGTATACAATGTAGGTTATACTACTTACAATCAACTTTTTCAGAGACAAATTAATTAACTATCAGATAAGAACTAGTGAATCAAGTGTGTCATAAATGTTATTTCTAGTTACTTAATAGGAACAAAGAAATATGTACTCCAATATAGATTCTATATTACAACATATAAATCTTTAACTGAAACTATAAATGAAGTTTATAGTATTTATTTTATTTGCTCTTTACGGTACGCATTATAAATTCAAATGTCAAAATTTCTAATAATAATTCTTCTGTCTATAATTTGTTTTCACTACAAGTATAACAAAGGAAAAAGTATGGTGTTTCAGGTGGTCAATGTAGAAACAAATTGAAAAAATTTCTTCTATAAGATACTGAAAACAAAAATATTGTTCCCTATAGAATATTAGAACCTTCGACATTTCTATTGAAGTATTTTAAGCTTTCAGTCAATGGGTTACTACTTATAATGTATTTTTATATAATTATACCAAAAATAATCCTTTCATTTTTATCAACTCCCTACACCAAAAGTAAATAGTTTCTTCACAGAGCACGAGACGAGCAAATCTACCCCATGTTTCAAGAAATTTCCGCATAAATAAGCTGCAAGAATGCTCGGCAAGAAACACCGACTACAAAAATATAATTAAAGTATTCATTATCGGACTTGTGCTATAAAATAAACTTCATTTCTTTTATCGATCGCCTGCATTCATAGGAAACTAATTTCTTCAGAAACGATAAAAAGACCAAATCTATATGTCACTAACCAATACCTTGAATCTACCTATAACATTTACTACGAACCTGAATTACAAGCATATAACTAAAAATACTTAAAATTCGTGGTCCCAAGATTGCAACGAGAATTGCTCGTGACCAAATATATCACCTATTCCCATCAAGCCACTCCAAACAAACAAACAAAAAAGATGTTCGCAAGTGTGACGGAGGATTGCACCATAAGTAGCCATTTAATTTCAAGAAATCATAAGAAACAGAATCGCTATCCAGCGGGGAGATCGCGTTAATATCAAATTAAAAAAAAAAATACAAACACACGAAACAAAAAATACGAATTACTTTTCCGTGTTCTGAAATTCTTTGCGGACTACACCACGTACCTGTGTGGGCAACACAAGCGACGAAGGTGTACCGTTTACGTACATTCTGCTTTTACTGGCGTGCCATTTTTTCCGAACCCTGCCACACATCGCGTTCAAGATCCAGCTGTACCATGATCTCGACAGTTCCGACTGGATCTCCTCCGTGCAAATGGTCGCGTGGCATATGTAGATCGGTGCTTGCGTCGATCTTCGTTTGTCGTTCATCTTTAATCGCCGATTAACAGTCTCGAACCACGCATTAAAAAAATTTTCTTAATTAACGAACTTGAAGCGATCGCGATAAACGAGTCCACTGGTATCGATTCAATCAACCGACAGAGAATAATGGATAGTTTGTCGCGTTGGAAGCGGTCATCCGGGTCGATTTGCAATTGATCCTTGCCTTTGACATTGATTTTTGTTAATTAATGCCTGCCTGTGGCGTAAACACTATTAATTGATGGTTTAAATATAACGATCACAGATGAATATTGGTTTTTCTTTTTAGAAATATTAATTGGTATTTTCTAGAACGATGCGTAACGATGTTGGGGTACGTAGACTGGAGAACAGATTCGCGGGCGTATATCGCGATACTGATCGAAACGTCGTCACGCACCGAGATTATCCTTTCGCTGTGTTATCGGTAACGAGGCTCCTCCGTAGAACTATTCTCGCCTTCGCGCATTTATTGATAGAGAGAATTCTATAAACAGTCGATAAAACAACGCGTCACGAGGAATCCATTATAAATAATACGATATCGTTACTTTTTTTTTCGTGGGTGATAGGTACCGTTGTGATAAAACCGGTTTCGTAAGCAAAAGTCTATTGAAATCAGAGTTTTATGATTGGGTCTGAATTGTAAAAAGAATCACTTGAAAAAGTATAGTTAAAAATTTCTATCATTGAAGTTAAGAAATGGAAAAAAATTTAGTAATTGAAGGGTGAATTGATTTGATAGTTTTTAATGAATTTCGATGCCTTTTTTCGAGCGAATATTAACCGATGGTGCCATAATTTCATGGAACGTTTAATTAACTTAGACATGAAGTACAGTTTACGGAATTGTTTGAAAAATACAAGTTAAAGTGAACCTTTAGGGAACTGAAAGAAATCTTAAAGAATTCTAACCACTTCCATCCCACAAGTCCATTCCGACCCCTATCGACGGATGTTCAAAATACAATTCAAAAATTCTAACCAGATGCCTTTAAACTATACCCTTAAAAAATTCAGAAATCCTACTGAGATAATACTACAAAAATGACTTCCAAGTTCAATATTCATAAAATAAACAGGAATACTGAACACAACAATGGAAATTTTGACCTTTCCACACCCTACAAAGGAGAACCGATCTAAAAGACACACAATCCAAGGATCCTGTGGAATACCATCTGATAATGTATTAAAAAATTTAATCAAATTATTGAGATATTATCATAATTCTATTATAATGATTTACTAGCTAAATCTTCTAGGAACCAAAAGAATATCAATAATTTAGTCGACCGATTCTAACACTAGATATTAGAATAGAGAAACTAACCCTAACCCCTTGGTCCCTTACAAAATAAAACTGATCTAAAAGTGCCAGCAAAGTACCTGCCGTCTTCCGTATTCTTTTTTAATTACTAAACTTCCTAAAACTCGTATCCATTGACGAATTCTTCGATAGAACAGTTCCAGTCGCGATCCCATCCGGCTTTTCTCGCTGCGCTCCGGTTTTGTCCACGGAACGTCTATAGACAGTAGCTTATATCCTGTCTATAGACTGTCAACGAAACGTGGCAGCAAAAAAAGCACGGTCGTAATTGCACCCGCGAAACAAGGGGAAAGAGTTTCCCGAGACCATGAATAATTCCCTACGGTCTTTACGCTTCGCGTGGACCATGCTATTGAAGCTCGACGGAGTTAATATTTGATCGGTAATTGTTAGGTTCTTTCATTGGTCGCTCTGGGATCGTTTATCTTTCCTCCCTTTGGAAACTTCAATGAAATTGTTCGATACAAGTTTCACGAAATTACGAGAAAATCTAAAGAACGGTGCACGTGTTCGTTATTGTTACAAAAAGGGTTTATTGCGGGGTTTCAAGTTCGTGAGAAAGGGAAGGACTGACGCTACGAATTGGTCTGCGATTGATTCATTTCCCCCTTCTTTTTTTTCCTGTTGTTTCACTGACCGTTCAAACTGTTTTCTCTTCTCTTGGACAATCGATGGGTGCCCTAGTAATTCTTGTTGTCGAGGGAATTGCTTCAGATGTTTTTTTTTGTTTACCTAATTCATTTTTTTTTTTTTTTGAGACAATTTAGTTTGAGGATCAGCTGAAGTTTTTGATTAATTGATGAAATTTGATGACGACATCAGTGAAGAGAGGAGGTGGAAAATATGGAGTGTTGGAGAAATTATTTTGAATCGCATCGAATAGAGAATAATTACACAAAACACAGAAGACGAATTACGGATAGAAATCAAAAAAGTTTGAAAGATGGTCTGGGAGAATGTTAATTATACCAGGACATACATAAATTCATAATATTGGGACCTGTATAAAAAGAAGAATACGGGGGACTCAGTGGAAGAATTGGATTAAGGATCTAGGGTCGCAATATGAAGAAAAATAGGGAGGGTTTAGTCTAAAAAGTATCTAAACAGTTAAATAACGAAATTAAGTAACGCCCCTATAGAAGAACATTTTTAAGAACACAAAAGAAAGACGATATAAGGGTAGGAAAAGCTTTAAAAATATATAAAATTATTACAAGATTGAATATTTTTAGTGAACAATTGCTACAACACACTACTTCACAAGATGAGTTAACAGACGTGTAAATTCGATTGCTTCTTGTTCCTCTTCAAAAATGTGAAGTGGAACATTGCTTCTTCGGCGTTATCATTGATTGCAGCTAGCAATAATCAAGATAAAGATACGGTCACAATAGTTTCGTATTACATATCTTTAAAACGTTGCATCGACCACGACACATAAACAGTATACTTCCAGTATTTTGTAATTTCTGAACGTTATTATTAATAATGATTACCCCAGTAATTAAGGGAAAAAAAAGAATTACGTGTTAATTGGTAACAACATGGAAACTTCGCTTACCGCTGTCGAATAGTCTGCGTCATCGTCAGCAGTCGAAGTTTCTTCAAACGGCGAATTCTCTTCCAAAATATCGTACTCCGATTTTCCTTGAAAATTAAGAGAAACAATTTTACAATGTATTTGAAAATACAATTTCAAAAGTCTGTTGACGATCGATAATAATTATGTTTAAATAACTGTGGAATTTGAAGAATGAATAATTGAAGCAAGATAGTCACAGTTCAATAAGGGAAGCTTGATTAATTTTATAAGCCTTCATTGCTCGAGCAATTAGCCGATATCTTGGTAATAATGAAAGGAAGGCTCGTTAAGAACCGGATTACCTAGTTTGCGACGAGAAATATCGGTCAATGGATCGACACTTGTTGAACTGACAATTGAGAGTTGTTTATGGAGTTGATTTATCGTTGCTTTTAATTTGTTATTAATGACGATTGATTCTACCATTCTCTGTGCAACTAGCGAAGTGTCCGTCAATATTTCACCGAAATTGAACGCTTCGATAAAGATTAATCACGTTTCTCTGACAGACAATTACGCTGATTTACTTCAATCGAATGATGCAAGAAAATGATAAATTCGAAGACAAAAGTGTAATTAGATTCCGTCAATATATCAGGAAATTAAGTGTTTCAATTCAAATTGAGTATCTTTTTTGACAGAATGTTATAGTGAGTAAATCCGATTAAACGATTTGGAGTAGTTACTAACCAGAAGAGCATCCTGAGTGAAGTTTTTATGGATATATTGTGAAATTAAATGTTTTGCTTTATATTGAACATAAAAGACACATCGAATTAATAAATTCAATCATCTGGAAAAGTTATTTATATATAAGAAACGTGTGTGAATATTCTGCCAATATTTTATCAATTGAACAAACATAGATTAAAAGTCTAATTATATTTGAAGAAAGTCTAGAAAAGACATTTTATAACACGAAAGGCTTTAATTCAGACTGATCATTTCTTGTTGGCAGAAAGTTTCTAGAATCTGCAAAAGTTTAGTGACTCGAAGAGGAATGAGTAACGAGATGCTGGTCAATACTTTATTAAACTAAATGTTCCCATGCAGACTGATCATCTTTATCCGGTAGAATATTGTGGACAATTAACCTGATGAACCGATTTAAAGAAATCATCATCGAGAGGAGGGATTTGCGCGGGGATTTTGTCAATATTTTATAAAATTCATTGTTCGAATTTATATTAATCGTTTTTTGGACGGAAGACTATGGATAACCAATTTGATGAAGAGCTGTCTGAACAAATGACTTGATGACGAATACCTAAATAACGAAATTCTCGTTAATACTTTATGAAACTGAATGTCTCCACGTAGATTGATCATCTTTGTATGATAGACTGTTACGTCAATAAATTCGATTAACTCCTGAAGGAACGATCAATTCGAACAAGATCGAGAGCGCAGAAAACTTATCTTCACCTTTTACGGCAGGATACACTCGGCATTTATCATTCGATTCGAATGGATCAGAGTTTAAAGATAATGGATCGAAAGTAGGGCACCTTAATTGGGCATAGCGGAGCCACCGTAGGGACAACCTGTGCGACTGTCTCGTCCCGAAGCGCCACGAATATGCGTTTCAAAAGATCCTTTCTCGATTGGCGTGTGTTTGGCATTTACGAGCAGCGGATAAATTGATTCTCAGTTTTATTAACTTCTGTGTCCGTCATAATAAACTTATTAACGAGTTCCTTCACTTCCGACCATATATTAAACGAAAGATCTTAATTCTGATACAAATTTAACGATCAAACATCGTCGTCGTCGTAATTCCACGAGTGCGAAAGAGAGAGGAAGATCCTTAACGTATTACGATCGTCGAGAATCATATCGCGACACGATGAAAGAATTTTTACATCGAAATAGAACAGGTGTCAGTGATTCAGTGAAAAATATATATTTAGTGAAACGGAGGAATCCTTTTTTTTTTACCCACCATTGCTGAGTAACAGGTCCTCCAGGGTCTCCACATCGTCGTTCGGAAAGAAGTACTTGTTCGGAGGGGATGCCATATAGAAATTCGTAAATTGAGTCTCACAGCGCGAACATACAGTGACGTTTTGCTAGTCGTTTCTTCATGTCTCTTTGGTAAAAATAGTATCACGAATCGATATAATGCTCGATAATTACGCAAGGCATAAATGTTTGAAGACTCGCGTGAGTTGTATATCCGGTTTAAATACAATCGACAACAA